TATCGTACATCTCTCTCTCTCTCTCTCTCTCTCTCTCTCTCTCTCTCTCTCTCTCTCTCTCTCTCTCTCTCTCTCTCTCTCTCTCTCTCTCTCTCGTCCTCTGCCTCAGTCAATGTGTCCATGACTTGTCAAATGCGTGCAGGTGGTCATTGTTGCATGACTCTCATGTGGATGATCAATTCTTGGCGAGGAACGCAGATGTACTACCTACCTCCTCATAACGTACAGCAAGTCTCGCGTGATCCCTAAAAAACTACTGGGAAGTACTTGATCCCATACGATGAAAATTCACGGTCCCGGTACAAAGTACCGAGCAGGTAAGGAGTAGATAGCTGATTGTCAAGGCCAAACAGGGAAACGACCCCGAGTCTAGAAGGAAATCAGAGAGTGCTGCGAACCGTCCGAGTACGGAACCGACCACCGTTGATTCGGTTCAACTCAGACAGTGCTTAAAACTCAGTGTGCAGATGCTGAACCCCTTTCTCTTCTCTCTCTGTCAAATCAATTGATCAGAGGCCTCCTAGTACCGTTGCCCTTTGTACTTGGGAGCATAATTCCATATTCAATGCGACCTCAACGATAATCAAGGAGGAGAAGCGCATAAACCGAAAACCACGAACGCAATAAAAACATCGATACAGAATTTCCATTGCAGTGGGCCAGAGCGGAGACTCCAACTACGCAGCAAAGTTTCTCTTTTCGCAGTGCTCTGTTCCTTTTTTTTTGCAGCAACTCGATCAGCACACCACCTCGGCACGCGCCTGAACAAGCAAGGAGTATCGACAGGTTTTGCACTGGAAGACAAAAGTACTTGTCACCGTTAGTATCCCATGTCAGCTTCTGCTGCAGCATCATAATCAGAATGATCCCATGTCAGCGTCCTCATTGGCCGATTCCGGCACGCAGATAAATGTCCTGTCAGTAACGCTGTTATCGCTCCTTTCCCTCCCTTCCTCTCCTTTCTCCCTTTTCCCTCCCTTCACCCTCCCTCCCTTCCTGTCCTTCCTTCTCCTTTCTCCCTCCCTTTTCCCTTCTCCCTCCCTCTTCCTCTTCTCCATCCCTTCGCTCCCTCCCTCTCCCTCCTCCCTTCGCCTTCCCTCCCTTCTCCCTTCTCCCTCCCTTCTCCCTTCTCCCTCCCTTCTCCCTTCTCCTTTCTCCCTCCCTTCTCTTTTCTCCCTTCTCCCTCCCTCTTAATCTCCTTCATCCCTCTCCTTCCCTCTCCCTCCTCCCTTCTCTCCCTCTCTCCCTCCCTCTCCCTCCTCCCTTCTCCTTCCCTCCCCTCATCCCTTCTCTCTCCCTCCCTCTCCCTCCTCCCTTCTCCTTCTCCCTTCTCCCTCCGTCTCCCTTCTCCCTCCCTCTTACTCTCCTTCATCCCTTCTCTCTCCCTCCCTCTCCCTCCTCCCTTCTCCTTACCTCCCCTCTCCTTCCCCCTTCTCCCTCGCTCCACTCACCTTCCTCCCTTCTCCCGCCCTCCCCTCTCCCTCGCTCCACTCACCTTCCTCCCTTCTCCCGCCCTCCCCTCTCCTTTCTCCCTTCTCCGTTCTCCCTTCTCTTTCCCTCTCCTCTCCTGCCTCCCTTCTCCCTCCCTCCCCCCCTCTCTCTCTATACATGCTCATGCAAGTTGACGCATCTGAAGACAAAGACACTCCACCTTTCTGCTTACAGGAACGCGAGCCTCGAAGTACGCTCCGGACTTCAGACCACGTCCGTTACTATCGCCTTTTCACAATGCCAATGCTTTCTTGTGTGAGGTCTCAACATACAACCCAGAGCGGAGTCCCGAACTACGCAGCACAGTTCCAAACTCCGAAGTACCATGGTTCCTTCTCTTTTTTCACAGTGCTCTGTTCTTTGTTTTGCAGCAACCTGATCAGCACAAACACCTCGACACGCACCTGAACAAGCAAGGAGTATCTACAGGTTTTGCACCGGAAGACAAAAGTAGTACTCGTCACCGTTAGTATCCCATGTCAGCTTGTGCTCCAGCATCATAATCAGAATGATCCCATCATCACCCGAGTCAACGTCCTCACTGGCCGATTTGGGAAACGCAGATAAATGTCCCGTCAGTAACATTGTTATCGCTCCTTTCCTCCCTTCCTCTCCTTTCTCCCTTCTCCCTCCCTTCACCCTTCCTCCCTTCGTGTCCTTACTCCGTTCTCTTTTCTCCCTCCCTCCTCCCTTCTCCCTTCACACTCCCTCTTCCTCTCCTTCATCCCTTCTCTCTCCCTCCCTCTCCCTCCTCCCTTCTCCTTCCTCCCTTCTCCCTCGCTCCACTCACCTTCCTCCCTTCTCCCTCGCTCCACTCACCTTCCTCCCTTCTCCCTNCCTTCCTCCCTTCTCCCTCGCTCCACTCACCTTCCTCCCTTCTCCCTCGCTCCACTCACCTTCCTCCCTTCTCCCTTCTCCTTCCCTCTCCTCTCCTGCCTCCCTTCTCCATCCCTCCCCCCCTCTCTCTCTATACCTGCACATGCACATTGACGCATCTGAGAAAACAAAAGCCACTCCACGTTTCTGCTTGAAGGAACGTGAGGCTCAAAGTACGCTCCTGACTTCAGACCACATCCGTTACTGTCACCTTTTCACAATGCTTTCTTGTGTGAGGTTTCGGCACAGAACACCGCCTCCCCCCCTCCCCCTCCCTCCCCCGGGTGCATTCCAGCAACCTTTCCTCCCATTATCTGTCCACGATTCTCATGTCCTTACCAGTGATATGGACCACCGCATACATCAAGCCTTTTTCCTTCCGCTCTTCCACACCCCGAATGCAGTCTTTCTAAAGAGACTATTGATCCGCTTGACATGCAGTAATATATGCCGACATGAAAAATCAATCTTCAATCTTCAAAACGTCTTCAGTTCACGGAGAGCACTAAAATTAGGCTTGACGTAATCATCAACCCTGAAGCGGGAGAGATGATTCTCCTCATTCGAGCCAGATGAGGAGGTACTCACAAGTGATAGAGAGGAGGGAGTTCTCATTGAGAAGAGAACAAGAGGATCTCACAGAGAATAGAACATCCTCAGGCCGGAGAGAGAAGGAACCTTTCATTGCCGGATTTCCTGGAGGACGTCGAGTGGAGGAATGGGAGTGGGGAGGAAGGCGTGTCCCTCGTACGGCTGAGTACCAGCGAACCCTTTGCTGGGGTGAGCTCAGATGCCTTGGGATGCAGAGTCGCGCAATCATGTCCCTGGGGAAAAGAAGTATGCATGACGCACATGTATGTCACACAATGCCGACACACAACACAAACACGAAAGAGGGTCGGACAATAAAACAAAATTTAGTTCTCAGCCTCCAGTCACTCGCCTAAAACACCGCTAGCCATATATTGATGCAACCTCAACAAAAAAAAGCACTAAATTACGGGCATACTCGACACAGTAGCATTTTGTAACTCTATCTGAACGTACTTACGTTCAGATCTGAATGAATCTGACTGCAATCACATCCAGAGCGTAGTATAAAAAGCACGGGTATGAATGAGTGTGCCCTACAACATCAGTTCGAATGCAACAGTCAGTCGAACTCGACAAAAGGAGTAATCGTCGCCACGAAGAAAACGACAAAAGTAGAGCCATCAACAAATACCCAAGCCAGAGGACAGAGCAGTTGTGGGATACAGTAGCACAGACAGACAACAAGAGGTAACAAGATCTTCACCGGAGCGGTAACAACATCTGTACCGAGCGGTAACAAGATCTGGGGCTAGGTCCCACTTGCACGAATTAAGCGATATGACCGTAGATAGCAAAGATCAACGGCCAGATTCTCGTAATCCGTGCAAGTGGGACCTTGCCCCTGTACCGGAGCGGTAACAAGATCTGTAGCCGAGCGGTAACAAGATCTGTAGCGGAGCGGTAACAAGAACTGTAGCGGAGCGGTAACAAGATCTGCAGCGGAGCGGTAAGAAGATCTGCAGCGGAGCGGTAACAAAGTAGAGCCATCAACAAAGTAGGGCCATCAACAACAAGAGGTAACAAGATCTTTACCGGAGTGGTAACAAATTTTTTACTGGAGCGGTAATAAGATCTGTACCGGAGCGGTAACAAGATCTTTACCGGAGCGGTAACAAGATCTTTACCGGAGCGGTAACAAGATCTGAAAGGGAAAAAGTACGAGTGCAAGTGGGACCTTCCAGAAGAAGTATCCTGCAGAGAATAGCAAGATGCATCCGTGACTATGAATAGCAATGCATGCGTCTTTCCCGCTTTCAAAAGAACTTAGCAAATCGCCACGAAGTAAAAGAGGCGGAATGAACGATTGCATTACCCCGAATAGAACGCCCGGTCATTATAGCCGTACCTAGTCACACGTGGCCCCTATCCCCAGCAAACTCACAAATGGTGTAGTATTTGTCAGCGGCCTGCTGGGCCGCAGGGTTCAGCAAATAAACGTCCTCACAAATTCAAAATTTGATTGTCTGATTGAAAAACAAAATTGACCAGGTCAAAACGTGATACAAAAAAAAAAAAAAAAAAAAAAAAACCGTGATACAAAAGGAGGGGGGGAGGGGGGAGGGGGGAGGAAAACCACACATAAGAACCCAATAAAAATTCCACCATAGCAGATGGAGCACTTTTCAGAAAGCCACAGCAATGTCTCATTCACAAAGGCAACCGTGTGTGAGTATGCTGCACAGCTAAACCTCAAAATTGCAGTTCAAAAAAAAAACACAAAGGCAACCGTGTGTGAGTATGCTGCACAGCTAAACCTCAAAATTGCAGTTCAAAAAAAAAAAAAAAAAAAAAAAAAAATTCAGTTGGGAAATTGCAGATTATGCAATTTTGCTATCCCTCTGTGTCAGTACGACCTAAATAAAGTGGACTTCTTTTCTTAGAAAAAATGAAAAAGAAAAGAGAGGAGAGAGAGAGGATAGGGAGAAATGGAGAAGAGAGAAACGGGTATGGTACCTCTCCGACGACAACCTCAGTGTACGATATGTAACGACGACTGACCGGACAAGCACAGGGGCTGGACACCAGATGACGACGGCCCACATCAGCACCACCTCCCGCACTGGCCGCCATTCGCATCTCCGTCATGGTTATTGTGGTGTTGCCCTCCTTCCTCGTGGTCGTCGAAACTACTGCCTGACCTTGTGCTGCCCCTTCGCAGTCCCTCCCCATCACCATTTGTGCAAAATGCTTGGCAAACGGCCCACCCGTGCCTGGTAATTGCCAGTTATTCTCATTGTTGCAGCCACTACCAAACACCAGAGGACCACTGGGGATCTCTGGGTTGAACCGCCCAGTGTCTGTGTTACCGATCCTTGCCGTCGTCGCTGCTGTAAATTGGCACTCGTCCTGGGGATCTCTGGGTGGAAAGCAGGTGGAGGAGAGGAGTCGGCCGGGCACCGATCGTTCCACAAGTGACCAGTCTCTGCCGTTCGCCGTCGAACCTTGACCGTCCTTTTCCACGGAACCCATCTCATCACCCTCCTCCCGCAGCGGTTCCCTTTCTACGACACGCGGCGTGATGTGTAACGAAGACATACTCCGAGCAAGACACGCGTTTATTACGTTGACGTCATCATCCAAGTGTTCGTCGCCTGTCGTACCCTCGTCAGCAGCTTTACCATCATCCAAGATTTCGTTGACGTCATCATCGGTCGTTCCCGCCCTCTCCGTCTTCCTCACCCATGGATTTAGGCCGTGCTCCTCCTGTTCGCATCGCTTGTCCTTGCAAATGGTAGTCATCCTTATGTCTCTTTTCCCGCCGTCATTCGATTGCTCGCGTCCCTCTTTCTTCAGGCCCACCATCGGTTTGCCCCCTCTAGCGAGGGAGCGAGAAACGTAAGACCTACGGCGGATTCTTAAAAACACGACCGTCATCAAGAACCAAGAAGCGACAAGGGGGAGGAACACCATTCTCCATGTCCCCTCCCGCTCCAACGAGCCAAACTCGATAATCAACGAGGAAGGAGACATGAGGAACTTCATGGCACCACCATCACTTCCACCCAGTCCAACCACATGATATTCATCGCCTGTGACCGACTCACTGTCACCAGGGAAAGACTTGCCACTGGGAGCGGCACTGGAGTCGTCTCCGAACACCGGCATGCTCTCCTCCTCCACCACTTCGCTTGCATCGACAGCTTCCATGGCCGTCGCCGCCGACAGATGGGAATCAGCTCCAGAAACGGGAGGAGAGGAACTGACGGCTTGTTCCGTCTTCGAGGTGGCCACACCAGCCGCGAGCACGTCGTCCTGCCTTCCCGTCGCGACCCACACGCCCGTTGACGTCAATGCGTCCAGGCTGCTACGAAATCCACGAAAGAGAAACCGACATGTCGTTGCCACTGATGCTCGGACAAGATCGACAGCGCTGTCTCGGTCGTAGGCGCGAGCAAAGGCTACTCCGAGCAGAATGGATAGAAGCCCACCTTCTTTCTGATCTGTGATCGAGTCACGAGTAACTGACATGCCTTCCACGACGTCGATTTTCTCGATAACGGGTTCAGTAAGCAGCGACTCGTCATTCCCCGCTTCCTCCCTTGCACCACCCTCGTCTCCCTCACCGTCAACGTGTTCAGGGGTCAAAAAAGACAGCCTGGTGGCCTCGATCCCTCCGCCCCTTAGATGCTGAACAGCCTCCAAGGACTCACCAGCGACAATCTTTTCCCTCTCCCTCTCCATCTCCCGAGAGGGACTGCGCATCTGAGATTTCCTACAACTATCGCCAAATGTGATAATCTCCTCTGCTATCGCAGACGACGAAGAGGCAGAATACATAGCCTTTAAAACACCCTCCTCCTCCTCAAGGCTACTTTTGGAAACAGGAGGAGCAGCACCTTTCGCATCCCCAAACTTGTGACCGATTTCATCATCGATCTCTGTTGGTTGCTCCTCAGCAACTTCTTCGTCCAACAAGTCCGTGATCTCGTTTCCTAGAATTTCTATCTCAGCTATCTCTCGAAGGACAGCTTCAAGCTCAGACGAGTGAGAAGTTGAGGGCCTACTCCTACCACCACTACTTCGGCCGCCAACGGTGCTCGTGGACGCTGCATGCCGATCTAGAATACTCTTATCGAGGTACTGGCCGGTTCCCACTACCACCTCATCCCTCCCTCCTGCTGCTTCGACGTCACATCTTTCTTTCCCTTGCTCATCAGCCAAGACCCCTCTCATCCCCGGGGTTACCGGTGAATGAGTCGCCGCGACCTTGATCTCTTCCGATCCGTCTCGAYCGCCGCCGTCAGRTCCAKATCCSTGATCGAGACGATCRTCAGTMTCCAGATKTGCAGAGCTATCTGYAAAAGAAGAAGAAGATTCCAACGGATCGGCAGCAGGGCCAGGCTCTTGCAGCGCATTGAAGACAACTTGCCCGGGTTGCAAGAACAAGCTTTGTTCGTCGAACACATCAGCGTCGGTGAGGTCACTGATTCCCAGCCATCTGCGGAGCTGCGCGCCAAGCCCGGAGGCCGCGTACCACCCCTCTTCACCGGCGGGAAAGCGCAGCACGTGCCCAGCACCGCGATCGACGACAGGATCCACGTGGTCAGAAAAGGATTGAGAAGACCGCGACGGAGCGTAAGATAACGACGATGAGGCAGTCTTCGGTGACCGGGATCGCATGTCCCAACAGAAGCGCTGTACAGTCAATACATCCCCCGTCTCCCACCACTCCACCGGTCTGGACGAGAGCACCCACTCACCAACCCCCTCGCCCGTTCCCGCCGATGACGAGAATCCGAATCCCTCCCCTCCCCCCATCGCATTGCTCCAGGATGAGAAGAAGCCATACCGATTTCTCATCCCCCGCGCTACAACATCATCGACAAACGACCCCATAGATAAGAACGCAATCACTGAGGTTATCACGAACAGGCAACACAATCCTAATACAAGGGGTGGCTTATTAGCCGGCAAGAGATTGTTGACAACCCCCCCCCCAGTTGTGACTGAACGACAACGAGTGGGCAGCTCAGCGGAGGAAGAAGTGTGTAACGAACCACTCCCTCTTTTCTTACAGGAGGGGGAAAAGCGTCGGGAGGCCCGCAATGCTGTTGACGACAACAACCTCTCGGCTTCTACTTGTTCTCGGCAGCAAGCAGTGGCATGCTCCGACGACGTCGAATCCTTCTGCTGCTCCCAAATGGCATCCGGCTGATGACTGCAAGCACCGCCGCGAAAGACGTCGCTGACAATGTGAGGAGAAAAAAGCCTGACATCGGGATCTGGTGCTAAAAACAAAGGTCGGGATGCAAGGACACGTGGCAGCTTCTCCCCACGCTTTTCCCCGTGATTGTAGGTTGATCCTCCCGAGACACACGGACGGGGTCCTGGCCCACCCGCCGCCGGTGACAGCGAGGAATGACCAGTCTTAGACAAGTGCGGCAGATCGAAATCGATGAAGGTTGAGCGGCGACGGGATCTGGTGCCCCCTCGAGCGGGCCCAAGCACCTCTTCCTGCCACTCCTCGCCATGGTCCTGCTCCGTCCATGTGGACATGGAGCTGGCCCCAGCGCGCACTCGTTCTCGCTGCGATGGTGTCGAGACAGTTATTGTCCGTTGGGCAGCAGGACCAGCAATAGGAGTGGCGATTTTCCTTTGCTCCACGAACTGGGCCCAGGAAATGCCACCCCCGTCTCCAGCCCGCCCCCTTTCTCCTCTTCCTCCATTACCCGCTGTTTTCTCAAGTGGAGATATGTCCATACATGTCGCCGATGATATCGGCGATTGCGCCTGCCCCAACAGCGTGGTAGGTCTATTTGCTGCAACACTGTGTTTGCCTCCAGCAGTCATGTAGGAGGTATTAGAATGACCTCCCAGACCCCCACCACCACAACCACCACCAACGAATCCCCCCTTCCTCGATGGCCTGCCATTAAGATGACGAGAAACGTTCTCTTGTGCCTGGCTCAGAGGTGAACAAGACGCAAGCGAGTACTGCTGCTGTCCGGCGGGACTCGCAGCAGGAGTTGTTAGTGTCCCAGTTTTTAGCTTCGCCGGTCCCCAGCCTAACTCATCGCCGAGATGTGAAGTTGGATGACGTTGAAATTCGCTCCTCTCCCCGACAATGGGGGATGTATCCATCGGTGCCGCATTCTCCTTCGTGTTCTCTTCTTCATCGTCGACAGCCATCGAATCCCAATATGAAGATCGACGAGTCTGCCGCCGACGAGGGCGTGTTGAATCGACTTGCCTTTCGGCAGTTCCAACTGAAAATGCATCATACGTATTTCACAACATCACACACACCGAATTACATGTCCACTAATTAGTATCAAATCGATTCCAAAAATACTATCTTACCAATTTGAGTCCGGTAGTCCGATATTGAGTAAAAAAATCTACACCTTCCCATAAATCAATCAAATCGATTGCAGAATACTACTGTATTGTTAGCGATTTAAGATTCAAAATTTTAAATCCTATTTTGAGTCAGACGTACACAATCCACAAACCATTAAATTATAGCAATACCACGGGCAAAATTATAAAAAAACGATCTCCCCAAGAAGATCATGGCCGACAAAAACTTGAGATCCATCTGCAAGCCGTCATCGCCGCTTGCACAATGTGAATCTCACCATCATCTACATTTCCATCGCCGTCAACCATAACAATAAGATTTTCCAAAATAGGCCTTTGCCGCAACGGTTTCCTAAATCTGACACACATAGAAGCATATGACCGCTGCAGAAGGGGAAAAAAAAGAAAAAAAAAAAAAAACTATCTTGAGAGATGAGCAGCTATGATCGTCAGGTCAAAGCACATAGTCAATATCGCTTCTGCACAAAGCATCTTCTCATTACCAGGAAAAAAAAAAAAAAATCTCATTACAAGCATCGACTAAATAGGCATCACCTTCAGATTAACAGACGGGACCGTCTTCTACATCAATCAGATTCAATCCCCCTCCCCTCCTCCCCCCCCACAAAAAAAAAACGACGGTGTGGTCAGAGAGTGTGGACATTGACATTTGGGTTCATTGTATTGCTCTTTTTGGATGGAATCTTGGTGCATTGTGGCCTCTCAGGGCAACTGGATTTTTTAACTATAATTTGGACCATTTCTCGATTTATGCGTGTCATCCTTGCGAAGGGGCCAGCCATGCTAATCTTCTCTGTATCGCTCCAATTTTAACGGATGTCCCAAAGGAATTATTTCCCCAGTTTCAAACTTGTCCCTGTATCACTTCTGTCCACAAAGCTCTGGACTGGATGGCAGCCAGACTCTTCACCATGTGGCCAAGAGGCAGCAGGCATATATAAACAAATCAAAGTGAGGGAGGGGGGGGTACGTTCATAACCAAGACACAGAGAGAAGATTAATGCACTAACCTCCTGTAGCGGAGACAGTGGTAGCCCTTTCCCGCCATTTTGCTGCCATCTCAGGATCGAATGACACCATGGCTGCTCACAATGCTTCTCCAACGGTTCTGCCTGATCCAAAAGAAAGAGAGACAGAGAGAGAGAGAGAGGGAGAGACAATTGGCGCCAAAACAAAGACGTTTTTTTCAAAAATTTTGAATGGCGAAGACGGCTTGCAGGAACTTGTTTACAGCAGCTGCCTAGGCACCACGCAGAGTATAGCGGCGCCAAAGAGAGAATTTTGGCACCAGGGAGAAAATTCAACGCCAAAGACAGATAGAGCGAGATTTGGCGCCAAGGAAACGAGTGGGGCACTACGCAGCAGACGACGACTTTTTCGGAAGATTGCCCCAAACCATAAAAAAAAACGTTTTTTGCGTGCAAAACAATAAAGCATAGCGGCGCCGAAAAGCGAATTTTTGGCAACAGGGAGGAAATTTGGCTCCAAAGTGAGAGATTTGGCGCCACGCAAAAGACAATGACACTTGCAGAAGATAGTACCAAATCATCAAGTTCCGCTTCAAAGGCGCTGGACGGAGGTTTAGGGAAAGCTACGTTTTTTAGGGTTTAGGGTTTAGGGAAAGCTACGTTTTTTAGCAAACGCCTTTTACTTGACACAGGTATATTCCATTCTGTCGACCAGAGATCAAATCCCAAACTCAACAGACAACCACCAATGCATGAGTTTTTCCATTCACTGCGCTGGATCTACTGGGATCTATGATAATATTTATGGACAAATATTCATTATAAAACAATTCTGCCATACGAATGACTGGGCGTTGCGTTCGGGAGAAGAAGGCGAGTCCACTTGTATGACCAATCATCATCATCATCATCATCATCATCATCATCATCATCATCATCATCATCACCATCACTTTGAGCTACCAGCTCAGACAACTGTCTTCGCCCGAGTAGAAGGCATGCTTGCCAGAGCTGTCTGTGCTTGACGCAATTTCCAGGTCAAGATACATCCTACCCACAGCTCGAATGAGAACAGGGCCTTTTTTTCGAGGGAAGAAGACGGTATATAGATATAAATAAGGAAAACAAAAAAAAAACAGAAAAAGAAGAGGAAGAAGAGGGTATATGGATACAGATATAGATAAGGTGCTCCCCCCCCCACGTGGCAGCTCCTGAGCCCTCCAAAGCAGCAGCAGTGTAGCAGCGCCAGTGCCTGACACTGCGCGGCCTGTGTGTTTGTCCACGTGTCATCCACAAGTTGTTCTTTTTTTCTTTTCTTTTTACGCTGAAATCAGAGTTTCATCCATAGGGTCTTGCTCTACTACTCACCAAATGCGCAAAATGAGAGTGAATTTTCCGCTAGAAAATGGAAAGATACACCGCCATATTTTGTTTGTCTTTTGTGCATGTGGAGGAGAGTCGTGGAGTGCGGCCCATAGGTTGCCCATCGTCTTCCGTTAATTCAGACGCTGTTCAATGATAATTCACTCAATTCAGGGCATACTCACAATAGGACCTTCCTGGATGTATCTCACCCCAAATACAGCCGCACTTGAATGCATATGACCGCAATCACGTCCAGAGGTCAGTCAAGAAAAGTCCTGGTGTGATCTCACCCCAAATACAGCCGCACTTGAATGCATATGACCGCAATCACGTCCAGAGGTCAGTCAAGAAAAGTCCTGGTGTGAGTATGCCCTCCGACAAAACAAAATGCAGTCGCGGATGGTTTTCCGTCAACTGGTCAGAGAAGACGCGTGAATCTGAACCGTGGTCCCGATCCCGATACATTAAAAACATTGGCGTTTTTTGGCAAGTGGTGCAGCGAGGTCACCCGTGTACCCAGAGTGCCGCACACTGACAGAGCCACTCAGAGTCATAGACACCGACAGGTCACTGAACCTTCAAAGAGCATCTCATCTCACGGAAACTTCACACAAACATTGCCGAAAAGTCGCAGAAACTTTTCAGGTCATCTCGTCTAACAGAAACTTCAGAGAACAATGTCACAGAATCATCACACAAACACTCCTGCAATTATCCACGTGTAAGCCTCCAGTGAATGTGAATATGAGCGTTGCTGCACAACGAATCATTACAAATAATAAACCTTATTATGGATGACCTTACTGCAAAAAGCAGATTACTTGGAGCGGGAAAAGATTGGAATTTCTAATTTTCGTTTCAATATGAAGAAGGGGAGAGGAAGAGGTCAGGGGGTGACAAGAGGGGAAGAAAAGGGGGGTGACAAGAAGGGAAGAGGGGAAAGAGTAGAAAGAAAGTAGCAGAGAGGGGAGAAGAGAGGGAGAAGGGGGGAGGGGGAGAGGGGGAGAGGGGAAGAGAGGGAGAGGGGGAGAGGGAATGGGGAAGGAGGAGAGGGAAGAAGGAGACAATGAGGAGAAAGCAATAGGGAGATAGGGGGGAAAAGGGAAGAGTGAAGGTGAAAGACATGGATCTGCTTAGATTTTCTTTCTTTCTATGGCTTACTACTAATGTTTCTTTCGAGTCCTCTTGTGTGTGTTTTATGTCTTCAGGTGCTTGGCGTTTGTCTTTAAGCAGCCCCTACTATCCAAGGATGGGCAATCCCATCGTTAAGTCCTCGAGATCAACGCTCATCGTTAATGCAGACAACTGATTTGCGGATAAAAGGACTTCCGAGGTTTACCGGCGTGTGATGAACAGTAAAGCCGAAAATCTATCTTGGCCGCCCGCTCACCCAATCCGATGGCATCGGCTCAAATTCACAAAATCAGCCCTCGAGTGAACAGTAAAAGCTCTGATCTATAAGGCTTAGGATGTAAAAAAGAAGAAGTAAAGAAAAAGGACGATAGACAAAAGAAAACGGGAAATAAAAACAATGGTGCACTACCTTCTCTCAGAGAGAGAGAGAGAGAGAGTGAAGGCGTTCTTTGTTGCAGCTCTGTTACGTTATAAATACATTCATGTATAGGGTTCAGCCTCCTGATGAGTCGGTGAAACTCATCGACGAAACAGTTTGTCACAGCCCCTCGTTTGTTGTCTTCTTCTCCCTCTTTGCCTACGGTTTATCGGGCAGCTCTGTTCGACGAGATATATATATATATATATATATCTTATACACATCTAGATGTGTATAAGAGACAGGTTCAGAACATCTTGCGTACAAGGCCGCCCACGTGGATGCAGGGTGAGCGGCGGCTGCCCCCACTCCCGTGTGTCATATCGACACACTTGCAAATATGTTGTCTTCTTCTCCCTCTTTGCCTACGGTTTATCGGGCAGCTCTGTTCGACGAGATATATATATATATATATATATCGTCAAATAGAACTGCCCGGTAAACCGTAGGCAGAGAGGGAGAAGAGGACAACAAACGAGGGGCTGTGACAAACTGTTTCGTCGGAGTTTCACCGACTCATCAGGAGGCTGAACCCACACCCCATCACAAGCCAGCAAAACATCCACGAAACAAAGGTCTGTCACAGCCAAAAAATACACTCCAGACACGCCGCTGGCACTAGAGGCATATATATATACCCATCCATGTCCGACAGCCACACAGGAGACCCTGACGTCTATATGGCAAGAGCTCGTCGAGGGGCCCAAGGGCAGGGCGGGGGGCGTGGAAGGGGGAGTAAGGAGGGACGAAAGAGAGGAAGGAAGGAGGAGAGAGGAGAGAGTAGGGAGTTGGGAGCAGGAAGGAGGGAGGAGGGAGGAGGGAGGAGGGAGGAGGGAGGAGGGAGGAGGGAGGAAAAAGGAAGGAGTGGGGAGGGAGTGGCTTGTGACGTAGTAATTATTTGAAACATGGAAAAGCACAAAAAACTGATGAGAGTTGAATGCGATGCTCACCGCGCCGATGATCTCTAAGCCGACGATTCGCGCCTATTTCCGCCACCTTT